ATGAATACAAATAGCATTAAAACAGTGAGTAATTATATGTGTCTTAATGTGTTCTTTTAACCATTTACAAACCTCTTATCGAAAAAGCAAGGTATTAATTATAGTTATCATCTAATATCTAGTTTATCTAATCAGTCCTGTATAATTTAATTAAATTAGATGCTGAGATGCTGCTGATGGAATTGAACCAATCCATACAGTAGCTGGAGTGCAGCAAGTCAGGAACCAAACCTCAGCTCTTCTTACTGTATTCTTCAATCCAACATAATCATAATTTGACTGGAAACAAAACATTATTCTTACATTTTACAGCATTTATGTTTGTTTGTGTTTATTCTAATATATAGTGTTTCCTGGCAAAGTCACACTTAATACAGTTTTGTTAATTTTCTCTGCAATATTGTATACTCAATGTATGGTGTACATTCATCTATAACACAATATGACATATTGCTTTACTGCATACGTTGTATACAATATACAGTACTGTGCAAAACCTTTAGGCATCTGAAAAAAAATATATTTAAAAAGCAGTTTATCTTTGTTTTTTTTATTTGCTCAAGAAAACACTAATACAGTTCATCGTGATTATGTGTATGTCAGTTTGTTCACTTAACCATTTTCACACCTCCTCTAAAAAGCAGTCCAGCCTTAATTGAAGTTATTATTCAGTATCTGGATTGGATAAGTTGTATCAGGTGTGCTGCTGATTTTTAAGGTGCCATGTTCTACATTTTTCTTTTATCTTCCTCCAGAAGTCCACTTATGGCATTTGTGTGGTGCTGTGTACCAAAAACATAGCCCTTAGAATGAAAAAGGCTGCTTTTGTTACTAAGCCATTAAGCCTGATTTATGTAAATGAGCTCTGTTCTGATTGGCTGTCCTATGTTGTGACTGATTTACAACCCCAAAAGGTGGGATGCTGTGCAGAATGTAAATAAAAACAGAATGCAATGATATGCAAATCAAACAAACTACATTTTTAAAGGAAAATACAACAAAGACAACATACCGAATGTTGAAACTGAGAAATTTAATTGTTTTTTGAAAAATACATTTTGAATTTGATGCCAACAACACATTCCAAAAAAGTTGGGACGGGGCATGTTTAGCACTGTGTTTGATCACCTCTTCTTTTACCAAAACTCTGTAAGCGTTTGGGAACTGAGGAGTCCAGTTGCTGTAGTTTTGAAAGTGACATGTTTTTCTGTTCTTGTTTAATATAGGATTTCAGCTTCTCAACAGTTCAGGGCCTCATTTGAAGTATTTTTCATTTCATTATGCGCAAAATGTTCTCAGTAGGTGACAGGTCTGGACTGCAGGCACGATTGCATGATTTCCAAAAAGAATTTCAAATTTTGTTTTGTTGGACCACAGGACACTTTTCCACTTCGCCTTAGTCCATTTTAATTGAGCTCGGGCCTAGAGAAGGCGGCAGGGTTTCCCTATCCCCTTTATATATGGTTTCTTCTTTGCTTTTTAGAGTTTTAACTTGCATTTGTGGATGCAGTGGCAAATTGTTTTCACAGTGGTTTTCAGAAGTGTTTCTCAGCCCATGAGCCCATGATTTCCACTACAGAATCATGTCTGTTTTTAATGCAGTGGTGCCTGAGGGCCGGAAAATCATTGCCAGCAAATACTTGTTTTTGGCCTTGTCCCTTGCATACAGAGATTTCTCCCGATTCTCTGAATCTTTTAATGTCATTATGCACTGTAGATTATGAAATCCCCCAGTTCTTTGCTATTTTACGTTGAGAAACGTTATTCTTAAATTCTTGCACTGTTTGCTCGTGCAGTCTTTCACAGAGTAGTGATCCCCTCCCCTTATTTACTTCTGAAAGACTCAGCCTCTCTGAGAGGCTCTTTTTGTGCTCAATCATGTTATTGACCTGTTGCCAATTAACCACCAGGTGTTTTTTTAGCTTTACACAACGTTACCAGCCTTTTGTTGACCCCGTCCCAACTTTTTTGGAACGTGTTGTTGGCATCAAAATTCAAAACGGGTATATATTTTTCAAAAAAACAATTTCTCAGTTTTAACATTTGATATGTTGTCTTTGTACTATTTTCAATTAAATATAGGGTTTATGTTTTGCATGATTTGCGTATCATTGCATTTTGTTTTTATTTACATTTTGCACAGCCTCCCAAGTTTTTTGGAAATGGGATTGTAGAAAGCAGTCCAGGCTGAAACACTCCTTGTAACTTCGGTGTGATTAGGCGGAGCTAAACTGCTGTAGGCTGAATAGGCAGATATATGTCAGTTTGTATTTGTAATGTTAAAGTTTTTTATTGGCAACAACACACTGACCTCTGATATAAATGGTTTGAAACTATTTGTTCAGGTACTTTAGACTGTATATTTGTGCAGTATGCTGTATGTACAGTCACATATAAAAAGAACAGGTGTTTGAATAAGATCTGTCAACTGACTTGCGTCAGTGTGGATTATGTGTGCGAGTCATAGGAAGTTTTGGTTGATCTATAATCTGTAATAACTATTACTGCTTGGTCTGTGACTTTACTAATATTTTTTGTCACATTATTTTAAGAAATTAAATAATACCGCATTGTTAAATGTACCCAATGTAAAGTACAGTTTGAGCACCATATATTCAACATAAGTAGCAAAATAGGCTGAGCATATGTGCAAACTGAATATGCATTACACGCAGTGACTACTGCTTTCATTTACTGTGGGCACAAAGTAACAATGGATTTCTGTGTGGCAGGTACATTGCTAAATGTCATGAAGTAGGCATGTTAGACACACAAGACAGCTGAGATAACTGATGCTACTTCCACAGAAATAACCGTAAACGTATTCATACATTTCTGTTGGCTTTAGGTGCATTGTTTACTGGTTAATGTTATGACCAGGGCCTTGTTCCGAAAGCATAGCGGGAAGGTGGTCATTACACTTGGATAAAATCAATGCATTGAATTTATTTGATTTAAATATGTACATAATTTCCACATGAATAAGATATATTACATTAATTTTATCGTTCAGTTTATTTACTTTTGGCTAAAATTTCTACTTATGTAATATATTTTATTCATGTGGAAATGATGTACACATTTGGAATAAGTAAATTCCATGCATTGCATAAGATGGCAGAATCTTAGAATAGAGGGTCACTGTGAATAATCATAAATTTGTTAAGGGCTCATGTCATGGAAAAAAAAAATTCCTCACATGTAATAGAAGAAAGCAGAAAATGCATTTATTGAGATTCATCACGGGTCTTACACAAGCAAAAGATCTAACTTATGACCAGTGGGTGCTGGTGAGTAATGTTTGTCAGTAACACCTTTAGAGGGCGCTGGTGAGTAATGTTTGGTAATAAAACTTTTAGAGGGCGCCGGTGAGTAATGTTTGTTAATAACACATTTATTTGAGCTCAAGTTGTTTCTGTTGTCAGCTGGGAGCTTTTAAAGGTGCAGTGTGTAATATTTAGTGGCATCTAGCGTTGAGGTTGCAGATTGCAACCAGCTGAATTCCCCTCCCTCACCCCTCCACTTCCAAGCATTTAGTAGATGCTACAGTGGCTGTCAGGTTTTCTGCCATCACCTGTCCCGATTTTGTTTTGCTTCTTCATGTTTTTGACTGTTTCATGGCGAGGATTCACCCTCCCTTGCTTTTTCTTGTACTAAATAATAAATTCGTCAAAATTTGGGTTCCCAAACTTGACACAAAATGGTTAGCTAGCACTGGCAGCTGCTTCAGCGTAAAAACACAAAAGCACTCTCTAGAGCCAGTGTTTGGTTTGTCTGTTCTGGGCTACTGTAGAAACATGGCAGCCTCTGTTGGAAGAGGACCCACTATCTATGTAGATATGAGGGGCTCGTTCTAACCTAACAAAAACACAATGATTCGCAGTTATAGGTGAATATACACTAATGAAGACATGGTTTTGGATACTATATTCCATTACTGCCAATAGATCCCCTTAAATCTTACACACTGCTCTTTTAAGCATTGACAGCTAGGAAGCAAGATAGCTAATCACCCAGTTTTTCCACTGTAGGCTTTATTAGTTACATGCAGTAAACAAAGGAAATGATAATTAAATGATCATTTCCCTGCAAACATTAATTGCAGTTATTTATATGGCAGTCAATAGCTAAAATTGCATGATCGTTACAGGCCTACATCACATGTACATGTGTCTGCCTATTCAACCTACAGCAGTTTTGCACCACTCATTCACTTGTAAGTGTTTCAGGCCTGCTTTTTAATTTTGGCAGCCAATCAGAACAGAGGCTTTTTACATATATCAGTCTTCAAGGTACAGTAACCAAATCCTAAGGGATAAGGAGAGGTTGGAAAATGGATGTAAGAATGAATTACGACTGTTTTCGTTACAGAAAACTACATAAAACCACACAAGTGTTCTAAAAGCCTCAAATACATGAAAAAAGGAAACGAGCCCTTAAAGGTGCTTATCTTTTTGAGAAACAGTCCTGAGAGGGATAAACTCTTCCACAAAGAGTGGGTTTGACACGTGCAGTGGTGATGGATCTAATGGATGTAATTAGTTCACACTCGTTGTGAATGTCCAGCTGGTCTCAGTGGTTAGGCCTGTAGTTATACAGCAAAAGGATATTCAGTGGGGAATCATAATTAGTGTTGTAATGCGGGGCTGAACTAGAATTAATTAGTGTCTAAGAAGAAAGCCTTTAAGATTTCTGATCAGAAGCATAAAGAACACTTTTGTATCCAGTCGTCGTATGTGGATGGTGTTCGATCGGTGTAAATAGTGGCTGTGACAACTGAGTGAATTGTAAAAATAATAAAAAAAAATGTTCAGGATGTCATTTGAGAGCTTTTGCAGTTTGTGAGGTATGAAGCATCTGGGGGATTTATGAAGAGTGTGCTGGATAAATGTTTGAAGCTGTGCTATTTTTCATTCGTCTTTTTAAATTTCTGTTTTCATCAACAGGGCCCGGAGGGTGCGCTGTCCTCCGAAGGAATGAAAACACACATCATCCTCTTCTGTGAAGTACAGGAAAGTACTAGTTTTTATTCCTTCATATTCAAACTTCACAAACAGCGTGAACTTGTACAATACCTCAGAGAGTGAAAATTACAAAAAAAGTGCTGGTAACATTTACAAAAAATCATCCTTACTTTGCAACAATCAGTTATTCTTCCACTCCTTTTTTTAGTCTTTTGTATTAAGGCTTAATACTTCTGTATAAAGTATATGCAAGATAAGTCTTCACAGTTTTTCGAAAAAAGTCACAATATTATGTAACATAATGAAGCTTTTACGGCTATTTTCTGTATAATAACAAATACACATCACTGGTAAATATACGTGAAATACAGGGCTTACTGTAAAATGGCAGGTAATGATACTGTTTGCTGAAATAAATTGTCCTTAAACACATTTATAGGAAAGGTTACATGACATACCATTGTAATAACTGAAGGAGAAGAGAAATAAAAGAATAATAAGCATAAAAACTAGGGAGATCGCCTCCAAACTTTGGCACATCCCTTTGAACATTTTCACAAAATATATAAGGTTTATTTTTTTATTATTATTTCAAATCATATGCAATGGAAGTATAGCAAAACTGGCATAAAGTGAAATCATGCTGTGTAGTAAGGTGCTAAATTAGAGATATTACAAGGCCTGTCTGTTCGTTTCAGTCAGGCAAGAATAAGGTGCATTTGTAAGACTCAAAGCATGTAGGCCTTTTTTTAGATTTCAAGAAACAATAATAATAGTAATAATAATAATAATAATAATAATTTACAAAAGAAACACAAACTTAGTAAAAACAACCCAAATATAATGACCAATAGTCTCGAGGCGACCTCATGAATTCATGCAACCCCATTGATTCAGAGAAATGCGTGACTATCTCTTCCACAGACAATGTAAAAAATACTCTATTGTGGCATGATGAAATATTCGTCTGTTTATGCTTGTTTCTTTTATTCTTTTTTTCTTCTTTTTTAGAATATATATGCATCGTGTTTATACATAGATATATATTCAGTGTGGAATATGTCACTGCAAGACATGATGAAGGAATGGGATGGGTCCAACCAAATACGACACAGAACGAAGCGGAGATATTTCTTTTTTTTCCCGGGGATTTCCTAAGCTGCACTAGTTTTTACAGATCAGCATATGAGAGCTCTAGCCCTAGGACTTACCAAAGTATCACCCTCATGCACACGTTTAAAGTGACGCAACAAGCTTGCTTAAATAACCTACATCACAAAAGCAATTTTGGTTTTTAGTGCAAACACAATTGGCTGGCTTCAGCTTCAGCTTCTCAATAATAACAAGCTCACCAAGAAGATAACATGAAGGCACATACTTATGCTTCCTCTAACACGCAACAATTTTAGACATACTGCAACACCTTTCAATAACACCACGAAGCGGTTATAACAGGAAAGCCACTATTTCCAAAAAATCAAAAATTGTCACTATTTATGATTGCTATCATTTGCTTATTATTGATCTCGTATAATTACCCATAAAGGAAACCAGCTGTTTTGTATATATTGGCTTTAATCCCGACCTCACTTTCCTTCATGGATAATTATGACTTATATATACGTGTGGACTGTAATTTTTTACGTTTAACTGACGTCACACACTGAAAGGAAAAGCGCATTTCCTATTGGTAAAGTCACACGAAGTGACTTTCAGCATAAATTTGTATCTTTTAAGCCACGTCCCAGAAACATGTCGCCACTCTGATGACTGCAAATCAGTTAAACTGTCTGAAAGAGTGATGACGGAAGCAGCAACGACACCAGCAACGACGACAAATTCAAAAAACCATAGCAAGAAGGATAATTCCATCTATTTCAGCATACAGATAGTAAGCCTGCATGAACTTTGTACGATTTTATCGCTTTCTGAAAGACCAGTTTATGGTGGCTTCATGTTTCTGGGACGTATCTTCACTTCTTCATCCCCCCCTCTCGCTCAGGGGCGGAGGGGGCTTGTGAGAGCAGTTCGTCAAATTTCGTCCAAAACAATCACGCGAGGAAACAGGAAGTACAATTTTTTTATGCGCCTCAAACTCAGACGTTTCCGCTTACGTGAGCATCTATGTACGCCGCGCGAGCCTTGACAGCATCACACGTCTTCCATTCTGTACCTTTATACACAAATAATGTAGAAACCCTCCTTGAATATCTCATTTCATTAGAAACACAGCATCGTGCTATAGTTATAGTGCACACACAGCTTTTATAGTTTGTTATACTACTGTTTTTAAAATAATTTGTCAGGTTGTTCTGCGTCATAAACTATTGCTGTTTATCAAATGGAGTTTTTCCAGCAGGCAGTGCCGCATGGTTGGTACGGTTACAGATTGTGTTCACACATTTTGTCATCAATTCCTTTGCCAAGTGCCCATCATAGCTGAGTACCTGTGCTCCGTTTACCCCAATCTTACTTGGCATATTTGTGGTTTCATTTGCATGTGGCCTTGAGGTTCATGAGGCTGTCCCATTTCTCATTTTGCTATTCAAAGGCGAACTGAAGAGCGCCCTCTTTGGGCCCTTGGTGCCGTCTTTGGGGAGGGCCGCATCACAGCGGCCTCCTAAACAAAATTCCTTGAGATACAGGGGAAGACCAATCAGAGTGGAGGATTTTGTTTACCAACATTGCGTAGAAGAAGATATTCAGGAGCTAAAATATACTTGCTTAGTAATTCATCTTGCCATTCAGATACATCAGGCTTGTAATCTATATTGAGCCATTGTACATGGGCACGTTTTGCCCTGTACACCTGCACGTTGTTGACATATGTAGTCTGGACTTTGAGGAGGACTACAGAGCTCAGGGCACCTTTTTGGGAAAAGCCCTTTTGCTGTGGTGCCAAGTGTGCTGAGCCAGAATGATGGTTAGAGTAAGAAACAGTACAGACCACTAATTGGTCAAACGCAGTCAACACATGTCGTACTCGAGTCAGACGACAGCATTTCTAAAAACATTAGGCAAAATCGCTGTTTGTGTTTCTGAACATAAAACCAAATGCACTAAAAGCTGAATCAGAACTTGAAGCTCCTCCACTTTGCTGTTGTGTTTACTGTTAAACTGAGAAATGATGTAACCACACAACCTCAAGAAAACCCCGTCTACGTTTGCGGTTCTGTTGTACATTGGGAACAGTTCAGGGTTAGGATTAGTATCTGTACCATGCCATACCGCACTGCCCGGTGGAAAAAAACACTTGAAGAAGACTGAAAATTATTTTAGTGCAAATCTCTTTTCTAGTTTGAGAAGTGGTAGCTTGATTTAACGTCAAATAGGATCGTGAAAAGGTGCAACCACGTTATCTGGCTGATAGAGTGAGACAGCTTTATACTTAGTGGTTTTTTCAAATGTTAGTTCAGTGGTTTCCCTTTTTGTATATGTTACAAATAACACCGTGTTATTATTAATATAGGAATTTGGGAGGGGATGTTTGGAAACGTTCACATCGAAATAAAGTTTTCAAAATGCTGTGTACTGTGCTGCTTGTTCATGTCTCACTAAGGATAACTTTGATATATATATATATATATATATATATATATATATATATATATATATATATACGAAGACTCACTTTAGTCCAGTGTTTGACAAGTCAAAGTATAAAACGGCCTTGTACACACATTTATAAAACCCTTATATACCCTACCTCAAAACAGCAGTCATCACGAAGCAAACAAACTTTTTTTTTTAAACAGTAATAAAAAAGACAAACCAACTTAGAGCACTAAAGAACACCGTACAAAAGAAAATTGTTACTGCAGCATATAATTTAGGGTTGCTTAGTTACTGAAAGATGTCAAATATACCTTTACTACAACAGCTCCACTTCTGCCCAGTTTTCTACAGTTATTGTATATCATAATATAAACCTTTAGTATGAACGCGATCAGGGCGATTATGAAAAAGGTGAAAATAAATTATGTATAAGTGCTTTATATGTGTTTAAGAAGGTATTTGCCTACAAGAATGTGTAAGATATGGCTATAAATAGCATAATGAAAGAAAAAAGCATGTTTTTTTTGTTTTTTTGTTTGTTTTACATGAACTAGCCTAATCTTGAAAGTGGACATCCATAGGTCTCCAGTTTTACAGTACTAAAATGTACATCATAGAACAGGGAAGTGATGATGATGATCCTAACTGACCCACAGTAGGTTTCGATGTCCTGCAACTGTATAGAAATATATATATGTGTATATGCTGACAAATATCTAACCCAAGTAAGCTAAATTAATTCTAAATGAGCTCATGCTTCACCATTATATTGCCTTTCTAATTACCAAGGGGTTACATTCTACTCTGATATGAAGGTTTCCATCCAAATATTTACACTATATAATAATAGTTATTGTTATATGATTGTGTACCACGGCACAAAAAATAGGGAATTTGGTCCTTTAGGTTGAAATGATGACACAAATTCATTAACAGGTAAATGTTCATGTTCGCTGTGTGATTTTACATGATTCCATCTATAAGACTGAGTGAGTTCTTTGCTGGAAGAGTGAAATACATGTCTAACAGGCACTAGAATTAGTTACAAGGTGTTTTTTCATGGCATTTGAAGGATTTTTGAATGAACGAATCAGATCTTTCTCTTTCACTTGTCACGGTACGACAGGGAGTCGCTTGATGGCCTTAATACATCGCAAAAAATCGAAAACACTACTATGTGCAAACACAACAAATAAACAGCTTGGTCCATTTTGATTCATCAAAAAGAAGAAAAACAAACAAACAAAAAATCTACAAATCCTTTCCACCACTAGGGACAGGAAGATTGATACCATTTTTTAAAAATTTTACAATAACATTCAGGGAAAAAAATCAAATTGCACATGGCAATTGTTACTATTGACCAACAGTCCAGTGCATTTTACTTTGTCAGTTCTTTGAGAAAGAAACACAAGGCTAGTTATACGTTATCACATAATGAACAGACAACGAGAAACGAATAAAACAGAGCAGGTGTGACTCAATGTGCATTAACAAGGGACTTAGGATGAAAAATAGTTCACGTTTTAAAATGATTTCTCCTAAATCACTACTGTACTGCAACACTTACACATTTTATAAATGAGCTGCACCTCTACTTTTATGGATATTGATATCTCTTTATGTGTTGTAAAAACAACATTTTGGTCAGTGATAGCTATGTGAACCTTCCAACTTATAGTTTACCAATGTGTTTGTTAGTATGATGGGTGATACCGAAAATTCAGAACCAAATTTTAGCCAAAATATATTTCACATTTCATTTCTTTTTTTTCTCTCACAAATCACATTACTACATCTGCTTGGAATTTGAAAATGTTCTTTGGTGTTTACAGGAACTACGATTATCTTTCCTAGACGTTTGATAAAATCAGTTCTGTCCAACGCGAACGCAAATAAGAAAACCAAAGTAGTTTCCAAATGCCTCTGCAAAACACAAAGTGTGCCCGAATGGAAGCTCAGCACGTCCAAATTGATTCAAAGACCTCAGAAGCCTTAGCCTAGCGCTAGCATACCTAGCATAGATTTGCCAAGTGTAGCGGGTACAGCGCACATATACAAGCAAAGGAACCAATCCAAAAATCATCCACACACAAACTTAGGTCTCCCAAAGGATCGCACAGTGAAAGTTATTCTGTTTGACTGTAGACATAGATGTTATTTGGAGGACAAGTGAGAGGCTTTGAAAGGCCTGCTCAAAAGACCTAAAGGCAATCTATTGTCATGGGTTTTTCAGCATTGCTACATTAAAAACTTGGCTGGTGGTCACCTTTGGGATTCGACTGGTGACACATGACAGTTGCTGTGTGGTGGCACCACTGACTAAACCGAATCTCAGGTCATGTAACTGCATATTGTGTAAAGTTGTGCACGCGAACAGAGCACAACAATCATAAAATCAAATGTTGAGCAAATTGGTGTGGAAAAAAAAGAAAAAAAAACAACAACAAGTAGATGCCTTTTAGAAGCCATGTGGAATATTAAAGGGTAGTGATTGATGGATAGTTTCTGAAATGGGATCTTTGATTAGAGTATTTGCCAGATGAGTGGAGTTATTTGCTGTTGCTTTATTGGCGAAACTGGCAACAATTTCAGCATAATGTTCTACCTGGAATCTGATTAGTTTTTGCAGAATGTTAACAGCCCAGCATGGTTATTAGAAGAGCAAGTCAGAATACTGAAAAATAATTTTGAAAAAATACACATTTATATATTTAGTCAGTTTAACAAATGCAGCAATAGGACGCTTTCAAAGGCCTAACGTTTTTTCAGGCTTGGTGGAATGCATACTTTTGACATTTGAAATATTTCACTTGTGCTGATTTTGCCTGACTTTAACCATATTATGTATAGTGAGTTACCAAATGAAGATTCCAGCAAACACATGAAAAGAGAACGCCAAACTTTAGGGATGAATAGTCAGAAACTGGATTAGAAAATTGAGGAATGTTTGGGATTTCTGAGGGGGGAATGTGAATTATGAATAATAGTTAGCCAGAACCATGTTTCTTTTGCTTGCTTGCCTGTTACTTTCACAAGGCCAAGTTAGAACATCAAAACTAAAGCTAATACGACTAACCCTGTGTACAAACCGACATGGCTGTTTTAAAACCACCATCACTATAGATTACAATACTGACGCCCAAAGAACAATCTAAACACTCCTAAAGAGATACAAGGACAACTCAAATTTGCAGTGACAGTAATAATAATAATACTTCAATCATGTACAGGGTAATTACAGATGTTAGATTACTGCATGACATCAAAGTTCATCTTACTGTTTGAAGAAAAATGGCAAGATATATGAACAGTAAAGGGGCGGCTACTGGAAATAGTACTACAAAATCATTTAATCTGAATTATGCGGAACACTCTTTTATAAGGAGCGTATATGGGTTATAATTGACATTTGAAAATCGAAATTAAATAAAAGTCATGCCATATTTTCTTGTCTGGTACAGTTTAGTACCATTAATGAATTCATGTTAAACTGCCTCATCACAGAGAATGGCCTGTAGACTTTTTATCAACATACAAAAACCAAGATGTGGAGTAAATAACGGAGAAGTCAAATTATTGTGCGTATCATCAAGAGAATAACAAAGTTGTTTCGATAGCAAAAAGACTTGTTTGTGTGCGTAGATGTTAGTTAAAGTTCTAACAGGCACTGTTAGCTGGAAGCTGCCTTTCTCAGTCATTATTTGCCGGATGCCATCATGCATTCTGTACAGCTTAGACACCTACAAATAGTTTATCTGCTGAAGGAAAAAAAACCCACACTGCCCTTACAAGCATAACAAGAAGCAGCTTTTACCCAAATCATAGCATCATTTTTAGAAATACCATACTAGCACCATCTTTTCAGTCTTTTAGTAGCCTTGTGTTTAAAAAAAATAATAATTTGTCTAAGATCTCCTTTCTTTCTCATGCACTGACATTCTCAGGCATCTACATTATCTATTTGCTGTCTGGCTTTTCTTGGCTCCTGTGTGTCATATCAATTGTCATACCACTTTGATTTCCTCACACTTTTTTGTGTACTCGTGCTGTGAATAATAGGAAACTGAGCTGGTCTGTTGCGCTGAATTTGAATGATTTGATTTCGTTCCATCAGTCAAGTGGCGTCGTAGTTAGCCAAGGAAATTGCCTACTACTTTTGGTCAGGCACCGTGGAGAAAAAAAAACTGTTTTTGATTAAATTGTTTGACTTAAAATGCCAATAAACACAATCATCATTGTTATAATGAAAAGGGACCTTTTCCCATTCTTGTTAGCAGATGGTACGATGTTAAATTGCAATATTTTTGCCTTAATAAAGAGAAGCATCAGGCAAACGCCACTGAAAAAGCCCAAAGAGAACAATTCATTTCTTTCTTTTTGCTAGGTAAACTGATTGTGGGAGAGATGAGAAGCGCACGAGAGGGTGGAGAGGGTGGGTGAAAGCATGGCTTCACCTCCACTTGCAGCATAGCGAGCACAAGGACAGCCATCTGTCATCCTCACACTCAAAACTACTTTACAAGCCCTCAAATACAAAATCTTTCCGCTCGAGGCTTCAGCAAATGGCACAAGTTATCCCTGCTGCTGATCTAGGATGACTTCCTAAATCCAAATCCTTACATTAAACCTGTCTCGCGTCAACACAGAAGGTCATCTTCCACCAATACTACTGCAAAGTTTATGAGGGTTGTTCATTTCAGACGTACGGCATTCATGAAGTCCTACTGCACTACTATACCAAATTCTGCTCTGAGTTGGAAACGCGCCTCCTCGCATGATAAGTGAAGAATAATCTGTATCTGCATTCGCGCTTTCATAAATATCTGTCTGTAAAGAATTTCCGTAGCTATGTTAACAAATCTCTCCTGTTAAAATCTGTATAAACTGTAGAATATGTGTATTATAATGCCTCTTAAAAACCTTCGCGGCCATAAATAGAGTGTTTTTTCTTGTCTTTGGATCTGCAGTGGAATAGCATATGATGAACTGAGAATATCGTCCAGTACTGTCGTTGAGAAAGAAAACGAAACAAGCGATCTGACATCAAAAAAAGAAATCTAGAACTTAAATAAGTTGATAAAATAAATGAATTATTTCCAGGTACGTTCTGATGATACACTTTTACTACTAAACCCCTTCAATCTCTCTCTGATAAAAGGAAAACAGTACTGTAGTATGCCAGGACAGCTTGTCAGCAATATACATCCCATAATGCTCTGTTTATAATGTGTATTCCAGCACGCACTCGTCAAAGCCATTTGCTCTCAACACTCAACATTCATTCAAAGGATTTGAAAAGTCAAATCGGACACGTTTCCTCACAACAAGGCGACTGTTAGTGCCTTGAAAATAAAAAAGAAATATATCTATCGTTGGACTTAACTGGTTTAAATGTAGACGCTTTAAATAGAAGGCCATGTGATTTACAAAATACGCTTGTGAAATTAAGTTAAAAAATATCACAAGGAAATTACAAAATGAATTTTTTTTTTGAAAGTATGATTTTTAGGGTCAGGGGCACTTTGGACAAAATTTTTAGTACAAAAGAGGCTTTATTTTGGTGATTTCAGGGGTTAAAAGCCACCACCCTTACTTATGGTCCTTAAAATAATACGAGGCAAAGCCTGGGTTTTTTTTGTTGTTTGTTTTGTTTTGTTTTTTCAGATTGAACTGTATTTATTGCTGGTAGTCTTCAAAACTTCGCTCACAGACAAATGGCGGTAAATTTATGCATGTGATTAATAAATTTAGGCAGTGATTGTTTGCAAGTAAGGACGTTAATGATTAAATACTGTACAAGTATTAATATGATTATTATTATTATTTATTATTATTGTTTATTATTATTATAGCCAACGGCATATGTTTTTATAATGGATGAAAACTGACAGTGTTTTTGTGTATGGTTATCATGCTTGGAGCTATACAAAGAGGCACTTTGTTATTAAACTTTCTACTATATTCTTCCAAAGAAGGGCAGGAAGAAGCTCAATGTACAACATTGGTAGAGTATTTATGCTATAGCTGTTGATGTGAGTATATTAGCCTTTTTTTTGTTTCGTAACTGCTTTATGACCAGTGTGGTGGTTAGATTAAACTGTTTAAAAGAAAACTGCTGTGGATGAAACACTTGCAAAAAAGAGTCTTACAGAATTTTACAGCTTTTGCTGAAAGCCAGCATCACGTGTTATTATGAATAACGTCTTTGATTGTGCAAGAAAACTGAAAGACCAGCTATTTGAAAAATTATTACCCAAAAAGGGAAAAACTCCACCGGATTGGCGGCGTGTGATTCTATCTTGTTTTCTGTGCCCAAAAAACTACCAGCAAGGAAAAACAGATAATGTATAGATCAAGAAACTGACACACTGTTTGAAAATGCGGAGAGAAAAAAACAAAATACGATAAACTCATATGAAATAAACTGACTGTGAAAGCAAAGAGGATCCTGTATCTGTACTGTACACCAAAAGAACAAAAAAAACAACAAAAAAAAACAAAACAAAAAACAGCATGATAAAACTCAAAACGACCACCTTACGTAACTACAGAAACAAAACCAAACACCTAAGTATATGCTAAAGAGTTGCAAGTATATAATGTGAATAAGGAAAAAAATGTACTACGCAAGAAGTGAAGTGAATCTACCCCCCCCCCAATTCGCCCATGATGCGGGCGCTCGATACAGACGCAACAATGAACAGGCTATGCAAATTTGAGTATCTGAACTGTGTCTTAAATTCGTGTCGACATTAAGCTGTAAAAAATTCACAAAAGCTACACGATTTTGGCTTAACAAAGAGTAGGTGGAAAAAAGACAGATTTCTCCTTTTTTTGTTTTTTTTTCCTCTTTTTTTTAAACACATGTACAAACAGTCACACTGATTTGGGGCTTTGGAGCCTATTATAACACTTCAACACAGACAGTAATATGAGACAGCAATTATATATGATATCTGACACTAGGTGGTGGTGACTAAAATCCTCACCATTTAAAACGCATGGTTATTATATAGAGCTGTACTGAAATTAAGCTAGAGCAGTGAGCAGTACCTCCGTATGGTGCCGAAGATGCAAAGCAGTCGGGTTTTGTCGTTTAAAATCATGGCCAAGTGAGTTTTTTTTGTCATTTTTGTGTTTTTTTTTCTGTATATATGCGTATAAGTGTGGGTGCGAGTGAATTAGCAGGGAGAGAATGACATCCTCCGTTGCTTTTTGCAAGAAAAAGCTCCAATACTGTATTGCAATGTAATGGTCTTTCTCTCTCCCTCACACGCACACATGCTCGCTTTCTCTGCCGTAGTATGAAAGGTTTGTGAAAGCAGAACATCGTTGGATAAGCACCTTTACAGTCAATAGTGCATTTGGTTGCGTTATTTAAATATTATTAAGGCTGTTTTTTAAGGACACAGACATGATGGCCAATATAATGCATTTGTTTTTTTTGTCAAAGATTTTGTTTATCTTAAACAGTGTACCTCATCTAATCATTCGTTTGGAAGCGATATTGATTTATCTGCTCACTACCATAGTGCTTGTTTGAAGAGTTAAACACGAAAAATGTGCACGCTTGCCCTGACCTGGCATTTCCACTCGTGGACGCTCTGTGGGCGGATGATATTTTATCATTTTTGATCATTTTTTTTCAGCATTTCTTGTTGCCTTTGTGTATTTGAACATTGTTCAACATGTTTGGGAATAAATTAGTTCTAATTCATTTAACTTTTTGTTGTTTCAAGACAGCTGAGCTGATGTTGAATCCTTTTGTAAGGAGAGAAAATGTACATAGCCTTTAATTGGGTACTCAAGGACAGGTAGAGGAACTTGGCAGCCTGTTAGAAATTGCTGCATTCAGAAACTGCGAAACAAAAAAGGTCCAAAAGTCATTCTTCTCTCAAGCATTATTTTCCCCCTAAATCTAACAACAACAGCCATCTGAAGTTTCCTCAAGGGAAGATCAAGGGCAACTTTTTCAGGGCTGAATGTGACAGCCATGAAACGCTCTTCACGCCGTTACTAGCGAAAGAAGCGTCTGAGTGGCAGTTTTGTGGCACAGACTCAGCGGTAACTCCACACACCAAAGCTGTTTTACCACTGCAGCACCCACAGCTGACAGAAGCCCTGCAAACTCAAGGCCTAGAGGAAATCTGAAGGAAACCACGGCAACATCACGGAAATTCAGACCAAACCGAAACATCCAACAGGGGAACGACACCGAAAAACGTATGTCCTGTCCAAAGCCAAGTGCGACCTTCCAACAACCCAACCTTTGACGTTTGGACATGATGGCAGTTTAAAGCAATACTCAAGCATCTGCCTGATCTGTAGTGTGTGAAAAGACCACCACAGACAGTTTCGACACGGTTCCCTATACTTGTGAAAGAACAGAGACCCATTGACTCAAACCTCACTTAAAATAAAGCCAATGGGATTCTGGATTTCATCAGTAAAGCTTCTTTATGAGAAATACGAATTCTTTAGTCGAATAAATTTATAAATTGAGCCGAAAAGGTGGGACTAGTTTTCCAGGAGGAAGAATTTGTTACCAGCATAGTGGTGTGGAGTAATGATTGTAATAATAAGTTTAATTTATTAATTTATAATTTGTTTTCACAGGCTCCAAGAATGCCATGGAGACTATTGTCCATTGGCTTTTATTTAAAGGGATTTTTGCGCGAGTAGATTTTCTGTCCTTTTCTAAGTTCAAGGAAATGTGTTGAAACTATTATCCGTGGTGACTAACAGTACGCTACAGATGCAGCAGGTATAGATTAGGTCTGAATGCAACTCTCTGTTGAGAAAAGCTCAATGCACAAGAAGCACAGGAGCAGATTTCAGAGCAGAAAACTTCACAACTTCACCAACTCCAGGGCTGACTGCGGTCAGGTAATGCATGAAGACTCATCTCTGGGTCAGGCCAAGGTCAGCAGGAAGAGAAATATCATGCTCTTTTCTTGTCTGGATAGAGGGCTGAAGGGATTATTTTTCTTTTTTTCTTTTTTTATTTGCTGTAACTGTTCTAGTGAAAGTTGCCATTGCTGTGTGTCATAAATGCACTCACAAGCCGGCGAGAAAACACATGCGTCTGCTGCTGCTCCTCACAAGTACCTGCACTGCATATTGCAAAGGAAGCCCCGCAGTTCAGGCATCACTAACCATACGACACAAAGGGGAATACGCGCTCACGCACACCTACACATACATACGCACATCCTCTAGGACAGCACGGAAAGGAAAGCTGCGCACAACCACCCTGCCATAGAAACCAGTTTACGAAAACACACGTATTGTTACGTTCAAGCACACTCACACGCTAGAAAACTTTTTTTTAACGTTTTGTTTTTGTTTTGGATTTAGTTTGGTATGAACGCTTTACGTACGGGAAGAAAAATTTGAGAATCTGTCTGTCTCAACGTATGCAATGCAGCAACTGCTGGTGGGGAGACAGGGAGGGATTCAGTGGTGAAAAAGAAAACACGTTATAAAGTAATAAAATGGCGAATAAAACCCAGGGACAAGCTCACACGATGGTTCGGATTTAAATAGGAGAAAAACAAACAAACAAACAAACAAAAACAAATGCTCGCACAAAACACAGCACAAGTAAAATACATACATTAGCAAGCGATAATAATAATAACAAAAGCCGAGAAACCTTTAATCATCTCATCATAAAAAAGGAACAAAGCTACTCGAACACAAGTGAACTCTAGAACCAAACATTAGATAAAAAAATGATTCTTTTTCTCTAAAAACTAGAACATCTCTGGTAACAGTAGTGCACTTATCGGTTTATGCAGTGCAACATATATGCAAGAAAACAATGCAGTCCTCTTATCAAGCTTTTAAGAAAGATATTTCCTTTAAAACCAACGAAAGAAATAAAAGAAAAAAATCATAGAATTTCATTTCTTAAGTAAAACAATTTAATATTAAGCACAGGCATTTGAAGTAAGTGTGCAAAGTAGCACTGTTGTTTTTTTTTTCTTCTTTTGTGATCTACAACTTATTATTTTTGGACTAAATTCCAACACAAAAAAGGAAGTCAAACTAATTATGATCTCACCATCCTAACTACAGAAAAACAAGTCCTTGAAGGAGTGAGCAAAAAAAAATCTCCAGATTGCAGTTGCAGGCGGATGAGTCTGGAACAATACGAGAACGACGAAGCCAAAATACCAGCGCAGAGCTTTTTGAGTGACATGACACTTAAATTACAACCTCTTCTCGTCTCACGTCTCGGAAAAAAATCTACTCAACACACACGACGTCTAGTTATCCATGAAATTCGGGAATGTATCTTATTGTCTGGAGAGTCTTATCTTGTTAAGCTGTGGTATATTTAAAAAAGAATGAAATTGACCGGGTTTATTATTTTGCTGTGGTTCAGTAATGTAGTTGCCTTGTTTTTTTCTCTTTCTCTATCTCTCGCTCTTGTCCTTTTTGTCTTCTTCTCTATCTCTCTTGCCCTTTCTTCTTCTTCTTCCAACACCGTCTGTAATTCCTGTCGGGCAAAAAAAAGAAAACAAAAAAAAAACCATACACTGTTTGGCCATTTGAGCCACTAGGTGGGGCTTAAAGATCAGAAGTAGTGCATTTTATTCGCCCCACCCGCCCAAACAGCTGAGTCACGGTTAGACGTTGCCAACAGGAAACACAGAGCGGGTGGTTTTTTTTAAAAACCTTTTTTTTTCTTTTTTCAGGCCTTTAGGAGGTCATTTCTGTCCAGTTCGCTAAATCGCTCTCCGTCTAATCCAGCTTACAGCTGTCATCAGCAAGCCTCGACTTAGCCACGTTCACGTAGCAGCGAGGGCGGGCCTGTTTGCATACCGAAGCCTGCCTTTTTACTGCAAATGTAAAATCCTTGTTTTTTTTTGTTTATTTAAAAAAAATGGTGCGAACGAGATTGATGAGTCAATTAAAGCCAAAAGAGCTTTAAAGAAAAACAAAAACAACATTGTTGTTTTTTCTGTCTCACATTGTTTTTTTTTCGTTTAAGTGGAAGAGGTCAAATAACAGTCTTCTTAGTGGCAGTGTATGCAAAACAAAATCAACATTTTTGCTCGAATACTGACGTTTTTTTTAAATATAAACAAACTTCGTAAACTCGCCATCGAATAAAGAGTCAGGATTTTTAAAAAAACTAAAAAAAAACGATAAAACAATAATTATCTTTCTTCAGCTCACTCACAGGAAGTTACATTTCAGTACAATTATTGAAGTTGACTTGTACCTTGATAACAGCTGCATCATTATCCCTCAAAAACCATAGTAATAAATAAAAACCAGTGTCAACTCTCCTTTTCTTATCCTACACTAAAAAGGCAAACTTGTGACCATCATTACTTTTTTTTCCAGAACGAATCGAGAGCCCGAGCCAGATGCTCATTTTTTTTCCTCTTCTTTTTTTAAAAAAGGTATACCACAGTAAGCTTGGACGCCTATAGTGTCCAAAACGGTCTACATGGGAAAAACGTCTACAAGTTTATTCACGGCAATGTTTATCTCTGCACAACACGCACACGCGCACGAGCACAGCCATATAAACACATACATACGAATAACTCATCTGTATGTGTGTGTTTGTGTGTTTGTGTGTTTGTGTGTGTGTGTGTGTGTGTGTGTATGTGTGTGTGTGTATGTATTCAATGTGTTTTTATCTGTATCTGTATGTATCTTTCGCAGGCCTTTCGGTAGTGTTCAACACATAAATCAGTATTTGAGGAAATCATACATTTAGAGGCCAGTAGTTTGGATCCAGCCAGTGGATCGTTATCCAACTACACAGCCTTAAGGCCACCATCTTTTTTTTATTCTTTAAGAATAACAACGACGAAAAGAAAAACAAAAAAACAAAACGCCTCTTTTTTTTTCTGGGAAACTCAATGTGCCAGTGTCTATACTCATTTTTACTCTTCATGCCCCAATATCAGGGAAAAAAACACAAAACAAAACAAACAAAAAAAAAAAACAAAACAAAAATCTAGTGCCATTTTCTTTTCATTCTTTTTTTTGTTGTTAAAAGAAGTTTGTTTTCTCTTTTAGGATTTGTACTTATCCGTCGGAGACATGCTTGCGCATGTGGTCGTTGAAGTGCTCGATTTGGTCGAACTTGACAGGGCACACAGAGCACATGTAGGTGGTCCCTTCCTGGCAGCTCGCTTCTGCGGCCACTCCCACTCCACTGGCCACGCCCACTCCTGTACCACCAACTCCGCCCCCGGCACCACCTCCTCCAACCGGCATGGCCAAAGCCACCACGCCCGGCCCAGGCTCCGGCACCGCCATGGGAACCGGGATGGAGGCGGGGCCTCCGGCGCCGGCTCCGCCTGTCACCCCAGCCACCCCAGTCACCCCGGGGACCCCGGGGACTCCAGGGACCCCAGCGACCCCGGTGACCCCGGCGGCGGTGCTATGCAGGGCCATGTGGCGCTCCAGCAAGGTCTTGTGGGAGAACTTCTTCTTGCAGATGTAGCACTCGTAGGACTTCTCGCCGCGGTGCAACCGCATGTGGACGTTGAGCGAGCTCTTCTGGGTGAAGCGCTTGTTGCAGATGCTGCACTGGTAGGCGCGGACGCCTGTGTGCGTGACCATGTGTTTGATAAGGTAATCCTTCAGGGAGAACGAGCGCCAGCAGATGCTGCACTGGTGGGGTTTCTCACCTGCGCAAAAGACAGAAGGCAAGACTTTTTAACGAGAGATGCTTCGTCACAAGTGCACACTTAAATTCGCCACAGCTTAAAGCAATAGATACGCCATCGATGCAGATATCTGGTATTTAACATGTACATATCTACCTAGGCCAATACTAGGGATGTGCATGGGTGCTCAAGTACCGTTCAAGGTGCCAGTATTTGAATAATGAAATCAGTATTTAGGTATTTGCTGCATTTTATCATGAGAACCCCAAGAAAATACACAGACCAATGATTCAGTAAAATGCTGATTTTTTTTTTTCTAAGTTTTGATTATATTCGTGAACAAGGACGTTATACTCAAAAAGACAAGTGCCTTAACATGGGCCGAGGTCATCGACATGACTGAGAAGGCAGAGATAGCATAGCTTTTATTGCTAAATAGGCTAGGCTGTTCTTTTATGTTGGCACATTGTCCAGTGAAGAGGAAAAAACCAGCATCCAGTGTTAGGTTATGAAAAGCTGCAGATACCCTATTGTACCCTGGGAAAGTGAATGTAAACTACTTTTAAGGTACAAAATTGGACCTTAAAGACCATGTAGTACCTTTAAGGGTACATTTACACTGGGACAAAAATTTACCTGTACAGTATTCTTTTTCTGACAGTGTAGTTTTAGCTCATTAGCTAATCTGAGGCAGGCTGTGTTATGTTACTCATCCGACCCAAAAACCTATCACTCTCTCTCAGCTATTTTTGAATAAAACGTGTGAAATGTGTTTTGAAATGTATTTCTCTGCGTGTTGCTGAATTTCTAAGCAACACCAGTGCTATCACCTAAAAATGTAAGCCTACAGCTCTACATAAATTTCAGCCAAAATACAAAATTTTTCCTTTTTCTTTTCCATGGTTAACCAGATATCCGTTTGTAAACTCATGCACATCCCTAGCCAATACATAAACATTTATAAAATGTAGAAATTGGGACTTTGCAGAGGGTCACAAATGCAGTAAAATTACTAAAATGTACATATTGTAGCGCAGTAATACAGCATTGTCTAAATATCCTGCTCTCCTGGAGTACAATACGTTTATTTAAAAAAAAAACCAAAAAACATAAAATTGCCATTTCCTATTTTTACAAACTGCTTCACAGTTGCCTTAAATTGTGTGGATTGTTTGGTCTTTTCTAATAGGCTTGATTATGTGGTTTCTGACACTGTATAAAACACTGTTATGTAGAAACAAGGACTAAAGGTATGAACAAAATTCATGTTTCAAGATGTTTGCTGATGTTTTCTGGATAACAGTGTTTTACAGTGTCAGAAACCACTTAATCAAGTCTATTACGCTGTTAGAAATAAAGGTTCTGTGCAGCCAGAACGTTTTCCATTCATCAAGGTACAAACAATGTAAATGTACCTTCAAAGGTATAACATTGGTTTCCAGTTGTGCACCCAGGTAAAAACGTGCATATTTATTCCTTTTCATAAGCTAATGTTTTAATATTTAGTTGCCTGGAGACGGGACGGGGTGTGTGAAGTCAATACAACTTAGAAAATATAATTTCAATGGATTATGGTACAGTTATGTTCCCTGACTGAAGGTACTGAGATGTACCCTTGAGATGACCACCCCAGTGGCAAGAGGGGCACTGCCCCAGTGACAGTTTAGTAACCTTATTTCTGAGATTGCAGAAGTTATTTACCAGTGCAAAACAGTTTAAGGCAGTGCTAATCAGTGAGATACAATGGCCCCAAAAAGGTGGCCCCAAAACCAGAGGCCCCAAGTCCAGGGCTGAAATTGCTCAAACGACAATAATCTTAAAAACACCACCTGCCTTTTGAAAGAATACTTTGCCGAAAAAGAAAACAAGTCTAAAATAAATGTCACTTGTCATTTTGTTTCCTAACACAGCGAAAGTAATACAGTTTTAAGTATTGGATCAAATGTCCAAATACTTTCTGGGGTTACTGTATAAGCTTCCATTATTTGTTTGCTACATCAGCCTCGTAGCTCTAGTGTAAAGCTAAATAAGCAAACTTCAGACACCAAACATGTTTTGGCTGACATGTTTAACTACTCGTTCTTCTTTTTGCTGAACTGCTGCTTTAATCCCGCCAGCTTGGTTCAGATTTCTTGGTTCATCATTTTACCAAAACCACACTTCCTTCCTTATGATACTTTCTGTACAGCTGCTTTGTGACACTGTCCATTGTAAAAAGCGCTACACAGAAAAAAAAATGAATTGAATTCAACTGAATAACAGATTCTCTCTCTCTCTCTTCTGAAATCCTGGTCAGGTTCAGTGCCGAGAAACAGTTCTCCTTGAGAGGTAACGTGGCATTTCTTTAGAGGTTCAGTGAGAAATGGTTAAAAAGGTCATATTAATATTCAGAGTTAATTAGAAAGTTATATTATCTCCTTATTAATGTAGTGCAGATCTTCCAGTGGTTCATGTCCATGAAGTGCTAATTATTATGCGCATTTCCCCAATCAGAAGCCTTTGATCCTCAGAGTAGTGACGTGCGTTACGGACTTTAATCTCACATAAACTCAATCTATCTCTTCTTGTGTATATAACACATAGAGAGCTTCACTGCACCTCCGCATGAGGGCCGATTCCACCGACACCTCACCCATCCACCAATTCACTGGGACCTATTGTTCCTTTAAAATAACACTTGCGCTGTGTTGTAGCTTCTTTATGGTAGGGTATGACTACAGCCACACGCTGGATGACTAACCAGAGGTCAAAGTCCGACAGCCCTGTTATATAATAAAAAAATAACATTCCACAGTACTGGACACGGTCTAAAGTCACTTTCACTTTAGCATAGCAACTTAAGACCAACACACATTCAACTAACTGCCAAGAAAAACAGCCGGAAAGTAAGTTTATATGCAGGCAAAGCTCCTAAAGGAACAGAGCTAGAGCTAAACAAAAGGATATAGCGTTGTTGTGGACTTAATAAAATATAATTTAAATAAAAACAGCACTATAGAACAAGCAAATTATAAGGGTGCAGTTGCTGTCATGAAAAAAAACTTTGAAAAAACAATTGAATAAATTGGACAAATTATAAAAACTTGCAGTGGAAGACATTGGAACAAGATTGTTTTCCAAAGTCATTGTGGATCAGTTCTGTTGGGCCTTTCATCATGAAATTGTAACAGAATGTAAATGGCAGCTGGCATTTTTCAGATCCTTAAAAATAAAGACTAAAATAGAGATATGTTGTTTTTGTCCAACAGCAACAACATACTAATCATACATACACATGCACATGCTAATTATAACCAATTAGTATAACCTATATGTATAAAGAAAAGGTTTGAAGTGATTTATAACTGTTTGCTATAGTTATAAATACAGTAACAATATTCATTTGAATTTATCTGATTAAATGTAATTTTCATACTTGTCAGTGTCAGAATGTTTTTCTCTACATGTGTATTAAAGTCAGTAGTCCTATGTGACCAAAAGGCTACATTTCATTAGAAAAGGTAATTAATTTTTAACAACTTTAGTCATATGGTGGGATCACTTTAAAAAAATCTTCAGATTTGTAAACAGGCAAGCTCAGAGAACATGTAGACCGAAGGAAACAAACTGTTGGATGTAGACATTAACGGGTTAATGTTTACTGATCTGAAGTTCAGTAAAATCAAACTTTAAAGTTTTTTTCAAGTCTTTTCCTCTAATCTTTACCAAGGTTACCATAATTACTGGAGGTATTGTGAAAATGAGAAATATTCATGTTTATATTGTAAATATAATATATTGTAAGTGACTCATAAAACCAGGAATCACTGATCAACATGTTTTACTGAATGTAAATGGTGATATTTCTGAAGCTGGGCGTCCTGCTGTGACTTTCTGAAGTTCTAAAATCTCTTTGGCATTTTAGGCACAGTAAACACTGCCGTATCTGTTAATCAGATTTATCCTATCTAGTCCTACGAGAAAGCGGGAGTGATTTGTGATCAAGCAATGCCTTAATAACTGTTAATTATAGTTAATAGACCACTGATATGTGCTAATTATTGTGCTCTTTTACTCTACAGAGTGAAGACTGAATCGTGAACATGACCACTTCTGGGCCCCCGAGACGTGGCAGTAAGAAGCAATTGACCTGAGGTGACTTCTTAAGAGTGCTGAGAGGAACTCTTCACATTTGTGAGTTTCTGCAGTTTTAGGCCTAGTAGACGGAGCCACAGCTACAGTCCATTCACTAATTGATACGGCAAGATGTGTATGTGTGCATGTGTTTGTGCTTTATTTTACTTTTTTCTACATATAAACTATAGCTTTCACTGGAAAAAGTAAAGGTTCTTGTTACTGATGTTAAGCTTAGGTTCAGATATAGCAGTATGTAGATACGTCAATACATACAGCTTTGTGCAAAATCAAAGACTACTCCGCATTTATTTAATTTCCAGTCAAAACAGGCATTAAGTACAAGTTATTCGTTTTTCTTGAGATGTTTCTGAGAAGATTAGATATAAGATAATCCACTTGGATAAAGAAAGAAAAAGTTAAAGGAAAATATTAAAAAAAAAAACCCAGGAGTTTCCAAAACTAGAGTTGAAAAAATGAATAAAAGCTACAGAGAAAATGGGGCTCCTAACAACCACCTGGAAGACCTGATAGACCACCAACACTGTCCCCCTTAGATAAACAGCACTTAAAGCTTTCATCTCTGAGAGAGAGGAGAAAATCAAGCTGCTTCAGATTTGAAAACATCCACAGGTGTTTCTGTCCATCCTTCCACTGTGAGAAGACAACTCAGTGCTATGGCTCTGAAAGGATGTGTAGCTGTCAAGAAGAACCTCATGGAGAAAAGCAAATTGATAAAAGAAGAAGAAATCAAACAAGAAGAAGCTGCCTTGGAAGCGTGGAAGAATAATGTTCTATTAAATGTTTTTCATGCTTATTTCCTGATACTGAAAAAGAAGCAACTTGTACTTAATGGCTGTTATGACTGGAAATTACTGTACACAGTACATTAAAGATGGGAATTTTGATTATTCGGTCAATAACAGTAACTGAGTTTTACATTTTTTACATTATTTCTCCTTAAATGATTTTTGGACATAGTAGCCACTCCTCATAGATAGCTTAGGCCCCCAGAACAATACAATTCTGACTTTCTTTATAATTTCTTCTGCCTATGCAGACAAGGATGTTGCAACACACTGCACATACAGGAAAAACCACCCAGATCTATCAATGATTACCATCTGGTTCCTCTGTACGCTCTGCAGCCTCAGATAGCCAACGCAATACACAGCAATAATGAAGCCCAACATACACAACCGCATTCCAGCAGAAGGGGTTACTACCTCCGCTTACTCATCTCTGAATAGAGGCAAATAAATGTTTACATTAAATGTTGTTTAAAAAAATCTCATTCAGTTTTCTGTAATAGGATAAATTTTGAGTGTGAAGGACATGCCTATACTGCAGAACAAAAGCCAGACTGCTGCTCATCACTCCCAAAATCAGAAAAACACTATGAGTGGATTGCCTCATTTGTAACGTCGCATCTTATCACCAGCAGCCAAATAGAAAAATAGCTATTTGGGGTGATTCATAACAGTCAATAAACCCTAACTGCTTACCTTAATTGTCCCTGAGACTGTTGTCTCTAAATAATAAATCAAGTGTAAAGAACATCTACATTTTTCTACTTTGTATGTGTATTTGTTTTTTAAGAGAGCTTAACCTTTAGGTTTAATTATTACTCATCATTTTGCTATATTGTTTAAATGTAATTACTGTTTAAATGTAATTAAATTTAAATCATTAATTACACAGATATGCATATAATGAATGAAAATGTCTTGAAATGACTAAAACATGACAAAAATGTAGAGAATGTTTTTTCCCCCATAAAATAAGACTTTACCCAAAACAGAAAATGTTCATTAAATTCAAAGAATAATGAAATATCTCCTCATCTACTTAAAAACACAAATATGGCACATATATAAAGTTTAAAGTGTGCCCCTTTCACACAGTTTCGCTGTGTGTTTCAATAGTCTATAAGTGAAAAATAATTAAGCAAAATGTAAGAAGAGACATTTCAGGGCCATACACATAATAAAAAAGCCTTAATTGTTTGAGAGCAGAAAAGCAGACGAGATGTCAGTGTTGCTTACCGGTGTGCACGAACATGTGTTTGACGTAGTTCTGTTTGGCAGTGAAGGTTTTACAGCAGAGAGTGCAGGCATAGGGTTTCTTTTCACCCTGCTGTCCCACCCCTGCAGCCGCTTGCTGCTGGGCCCCGGATGGCGGGGGAACACCACTGAGGCCGCTGGGAAATGGAGGCAGGCTGTGGGGTGGCACGGCCACGAATTGGGGCTGCTGGCTGCCCATGGACTGGGGCAGGCTGAAGAGGAAAGGCTTGTTCTCGGTGGCCGACTGCGTGGCGAAAAGTGTGGGCAGATAGGTGTTGCCCGCAGTGCCCATAACCTGTATAAGAAATTTTAGAAGTGTCCAGAATGAAGACTCTACCGCTGAAGATAATTCCATATTAACCAAGAAAGCTGTAGAGCACTGAGAGTGAGTACATACTGAAATAAACTACCAGAATGCATCATATTTGAAAAGTTATCAAAGTGACTAAATGTGATGAATTACCATAGACAGATAATTAGATTACGATTCCTTCGGAAATTATTCAGTGCAACATGATTCTCACAGTCTGTTCAATTCTGTTAATCCAGTTGTAATGTTTTAATATCAGTGCAGATAAAATTATAGATTTAGATTCGGAAACCCTAAAATGTAAAGATTTTAGGAATAACCCTTATATCGGTACAGAATCTGTACATTATGAAAAACATCCAAAATGTTCTTCACAGGCACAAATCTGAATGGTTATTTAGCTAAACAGAAGTGTACAGTATATCATTATTAGTTTTCATTTTTATTCATTATTATTTGTCATTTTGTGTTCTCAACAAAAAAAAAAACACATACCTGTGTGTTGCTGGTCAGAGTGAGCGGCATGCGCAAGTTGCTGGCCAGTGTCTCCCCGGGCCGGATGTACAGTTGCCCACCGGGTACGGACGGAGGCCCGGCAGGGTTAGGAGGCGGAGGCTGGAGCATGGCCACTTCACTGCCGGCATTCTGTGGTTGTCCGTTGTTATCTTCCACAGCCTCCTGGGTCTGTTCAGGGGACGAGTCGGTGACTTCGATCTGCACAGGGGTTCCTCCCTCGCCCTGGGCGCCATTTTCACGGCCGAACCCGGATAGGTACTGCTGCTGCTCTACGGAGTCAGCCTCAGTGCCGATGGAGGAACTGACACCCGAGTCGAAGCTTTCACCTTTCGGTTCGCTGTCGGCGCCCTCCGTCTGCTCGTTGTCTTCCCGGCACTCGTCCAGCCCGTAGCAGCCATAGTCATCTCCCTGCTCCTGCTTGATGTGAACGTTGTCTCCGCTGCCCGTGTGGAGCCGGACGGGCCTTGGCTGCTTGCGGCAGTGTGTGCTCTCTGATGTCGAAGCCAGGAAGCGCTCCATCTGCTGAGAGCGCTCGTGGATGCGGGTGATCCAAGCCGGGTCTTGACCACCTTCCTTCTGCTGCAGTGGGATGACCGAATTGTAGCCGCCAGCAGTCGCCCCGGAGGCGGCAGCATAGTGCGGGCGCTCGCCTCCTCGAGTGCCATTCTGCAACCCTAACCCAGTGCAGCTGGAGTAGAGAGAAGAATACACCCGATCTAGGCTTTGCTGGGATGTTGCTTGCATGTATCCCGATTCCGCATCGCTGCTGGGGCCGGACGTGCCAGATTCTGGCGTCCCACGGGGCGTATCTTGTCCCGAATCTCCAGGGACAACCGGGAAGCTTCCAGGAGCAGCGATTCCAACATTTTGCGAGACGATACGCGTGCACTCATCTATGACCGTCTTGATCTGCAGGATGCTTGCCGCGGTCAGGATCTGCAGCGCCTCTGATTGGGACACGTGGAGCACTCCGCTGTACATGAAGTCGATCAGCTTCTGGACGGACTGAACGGACACCACGGACGGTATTTCGATGTCGCTGTAGCCCAGCAGCAGCTTGTCCTGGAAGAAGGGGCTCCCAGCGGCCAGAACGCACCGGTGGGCTCGCAGCATGCTGCCATGGATCCGAACGGTCACGTCACAGAAGTGCCCGCGGTTTCGCTGCTCATTGAGGGTCTCAAGTACAGAATTGCTGAAGTTGTGAAGGTTGATGTTGTGAATGCGCTCGGTCATCCCCTTGCAACTGATGTCACCTGAACAGCAAATAGGCAAACAGAAAATGCAAACGTTGATGAGTAAGAATGGGCCACATTTGAATATATTTCAGCTTCAAAAATGTCCTGCTGTTTAGCATTCAAATGGTATGCAAGTCTCACACAAAGTAGATAAACTTTTTGGGGGAACAGTGCTTTTTAAAGCTTGTTTTTCCCCTCTGCCTGACATGGTTGAAAGCTCCGCCATTCAAATTTGTGCCCTGATCTTGAATTAACTGGTATTAATCTAACATGGTAGATGTTATCATGATTCATAACAGGAGAAAAATATCTGCGAAAGTTTGTAGTCATTCAGGTCAATGAATCGTCTAGTAGTAGTGAGTCAAGGCAGCTGGACTTGTGGTTTAATTTTGAAGACTTTGCCCTAAAAGCTCAAATGTTACCCTGTTTCACATTAAAACAGTATGCAAGTTTTATACAAACTAGCTAAACTTACCAAAGTCTGTTTCCCTTAAATGACCACAGATTTGGACGGATGAGAATTTCTCCCACTTAAATTTGTGCCTGTACATTCAGTACAGTTAATTGCAACATGATAGATGTCATCATATGATATGTATAGCAGGAACAAATGTCAAATTTTATCCAGTAGTAATAAGTCGTTTTAATTTTTTGCTGAAAGAAAGGGGTTTCTTTATTTAGCCTTCAAACGGTATACGTCATACACACAGTAGCAAAACTTCCTAAAGTACAGTGTATTTTTGCTTCTACATTCAAAGGTTTATTGGTATGAACAGATAAATGTCACAGATTTACAGAGTTTTGCTCCAAATTGGATGTTTTATTATTTTGATTTTGTCCAATCTGTGTTGCAGTTTTGTAAGGTAAATAAGGCAAGGGAAGTGCACTCATACTGTACTTAAAAGCTGCTGCTACAACTGAAATAAAATGTAATAACAACGTTATACATCACTCATAGAGATAAATAGCCAGTCAATGTAGCACTTTATTTGATTTATGATATGAAAATAGGTGACTGATTTTTCTTTCAAGAATTTAAACTACCAGTTTGGCCCAGAGCAAGTATTATTATTTATATTTTGACTTTGGCCAATAGAAAGTTTTGGAAATGTGCTAGTGTGTTAATTTAGCCTGCGCAGTGTGGGCTTTGTGTTAAAAATTAAAGGCTAATACTATGAATACTATGATACCATATAATAATATAATAGCACAGAGATAATAGCTTTAACTGCGCTCTAACAGTCAGCGGTAGATAACGAACACCTCAGATGTCATTTCTAAAGCTTATTTTAAACCAGTCCAGTCTATTTTAAATAAATGATGCCAAACAGCTTAAAACATTCAGGACTCAGCTCAGAGTATGAAGAGAGTGGCTGGGGTCAGTCAAAGCTGAGAGCGTTTTTGCAGACAGGTGGCACTCTTGAGCTGCTCTGAGCCAGCGTCTAGTTTACTTTATGGTTGTTTGTGCAGGAGGCATGTGTTTCCATTCTGCATCAAAAATGAATTAAAACCAAAAATAAATCATCAGGCCACGATGCTATCATGAAAAATTCTCTCTTTCTTCTCGGGGATTATTTTCAGAAGCCTTCCTAAGGGGCCTGTGCCTAACGTGTACATGTTGGAGGCCATCTGAGAAAATCCAACCATGCAAACAAACACCACGGAACACGGGCCACAAAATGTCTACTTTTGGACGTGCTTCTTCATCTTTTATCACGGCGCAGCTTTGAAACTGTTTGCGAGTCTTTGCAGAGAGAACACAAACACATTTGAAAATTGATATTAATTGCTGTAGACAGTGGTGACATCAATTCTCTCTCTCTCGCTCTCTCTCTCTCTCTCTCTCTGTCTGTGAGAAAACTCATCTCACTGAGTCACACTCAAGCATTGCACGTTGCACTTGAAAGCACAATCAGTTCACTCCTTGTCTTTTTCTTCTTCTTTTGTGCAAGCTCCGTTCTCCAAAGAAACACGTCACGTTCAAATAAAGTCTGTCTTTTTTTTTCTCCACTTCTAAGTTCCCTTTTAGCTCTGCAACACCTTTCGCTGATCTCCAAATTATCATTAGTCTATTAGAAAGAGGCACGGTGAGTTTACTATGCATAATTATCAAACTGAAAATGTCAAATTAGCGGCATCGTCAGTTAGGCAGAAAGTTAAATGTTACGCGATGTGTTAAAAGGTTATAAAAACAAGCTTCTGCTGGCAAACACAGGCTCATTGGAACTTCTGATTACAGTCACTTTACAATACTTTAATCCCATGACTCACATAAAAACGGCAAACAACAGAATTCTGCTACGAAGGCTTTGAGAAACAAGAATGACAGAGGTTGCAGTCTCTTAGAAATATCTTTAACTTTGAAGGTTGAGCAGATGAATCAAAGAGGCAGTGAAAGAAAGTGCAAGTGTGGGTGTGTGTGTGTGAAAATCTGTCAAAGCTGTATGAGTGTGAGCACACTTGTGAGCGAGCGTGTCTCTAAATACTTGGTATTGATTGCCGTGTTGTTGTTGTCGGTGATCCATGGGTGTCTTGCTTGACTACCAGGAAGGGCCTGAATGCGTAAATGTTGGCGGCGAGAAAACTTTTATTCATAAAATCCAAGAGAATGTTTGAGTGTGATACTCCACGCAAGCAAACACAAACGCTTAGATGCCTTTTTCATTATTTTATTATTTTTTAACAAAAGGTGTGCACACGAATGGCTGAATGGTCTAGCTGACACTGTGTATTGTTTGTGTGCATGAATAGTGGACGATGCATTTGGTAATGTAAACTATAGCACTTCATTCCGCACAGTGGACGAGGCGAGATGTTTGTAGATTTTTTCAAGTGACGAGAGAATGAAAGAGGCAAATATACAGCCTGCTGGCCTGGAGTCTACAGTCTGTTCTGTATACTGTGGGGTCTGTGCACTTAAAGGGCCCAAAACTCAGTTTTCCTTGCTTTGTTCTATAAATAAATTTGTCGTAGCATGTAAATATTCTTTCAAAACATGCAGTTCACTTCTGCCTCCATACATGGAACCTGACAGACTGTTCTGAATTCATCATGGTTGTGACATCACAACCATGAATACATAGAACTGCCTATTCAGACTGGAGTCCTTTAGCATCAAAGTTAATGTGCAAACTTTACAGTTTTGTTCTGTACATTTCAGTCTGAACTATGCCTTGTTTGACTTGTAAATGGATCAGCCAGTCAGAACAGAGGTTATTTACATACATCAGTCCTAAAGGCACAGATACAAAAACAGCCTATTGAATTCTAAAGAATGAAGAGAGGTTGAAAATGGCCCGAGAGCCACACAAATGTTTTAAGTGCACCTGGAGGCTCGGCAGTAACACTTGCACATTCAAGACATAGTGTAGGTACAAGCTTATAGTATTCTCTTTTCCAAAAGTTCTACATAATTTAATGATTAAGACGTAAACAAAGTCATTCAGAGTGGTTTGAAGTAAAATGGTTAATCATAGAGAAACTTAACTTGTTCACAGTGGTGGTGATGGGAACCAAACATCTAAAAAGTTTGATGCCTTCCCTTTCAGAAAGTTATTACATGAAATCTTTATGAGTACAATGCTTAGTGCCTGACAGTTCTGAGAAGAAATGTGAAGTCTGAGCAAAACAGAGCTCAAAGAAAACTTTTTAGATTTATTACTATTTTACCATCATCAACATTCCATATGTAACCTCAGAAGACACGTGTAGGGTCACTGGTGGTTTTGGACAGTAAATAAATTGTCTATATCTGTGTTGTAGTCATGGCGGCCCCTGGTTCTTATCACCACCACTGTAAAGAAATCTGAGAAATCTATTGGCACATTCAACATGAAATGTTCAGATAACATAAAGGTCAGCTAATGTTTTCGAATGGTGTAAAAAGAATATAATAATAAAAGTAAAAGCGAGTTATGAGGCTTTAGTACAGCAGTGACAATGTATATACAGTGTATAGCACAGTGTATATACTAATAGCACCGTGAATGTCACGTACAGTATACATCACACTAACTGCACTCGTGTGAGTGTGTACTTACAGTCTGATGGCGCTCTGTAGGGTAGTGGTGTGTGTGTGAGAGGCACAGGGGCAGGATGCTACAGGTTTGCTGGTGCTGGCGAGTGTGTGAGGAGAGCCGCCGGACGCTCACTTCATCTCTCTCTCGGCCGCCGTCCAAACCTCACACAGTCTTCACGATCGCCCTGCCAACACGCACACACACAGACGAGAGAGCAGAGGAGACGTGTTACACACCTCAAACTCCAGGCTTATTATTCAGTTATTACTATTAAAATAGATTAATTAGTAACTACTGTAAAACTAAAAATATATAAATTATATACAGTACCAGGCAAATGGCAGAGACCACCGTTCATTTAATTTCATCAATAATTCCCATTCAAAATGGCCATTAAGTACAAGTTTTACATCGTCAGAAAAAGCAGAAATCATATATTTAACAGAAAATTACACAGAAGTCTCAACAACCAAATATAACATCAAATTATTTAGCATTTACTGTGTCCAGTCTTTACCTTTATTACAGCTTCTTTTCTTTTTAAGAGGCTTACTTTCAGATTTTTAAAGAAATCTGCAGACACACTTTCAAAGGTCAGTCTTAGAAGCTGGTTGATTTACTATTTTTTTTCCCCCTTTTCTCAGTAACATTTCACACACAGAGAGTCAACAGTGTTCAAGTTAATTTAATAACAGTTACTGGGAATAATTTTTTTTATTATTTTTGATTATATTGGTTGGAAAAATCAGCTGAAAATGGAATACTTTGTAGTTAATGGTAATTTTGACTTGTTTTTAAATAAATGAAGAGTGGTCTCTGACATTTGCACAGTACTGCATATCTAAAGGGGCTTATATGGATACAAATGCATGAACATTTCTTGTAATCACCTTCAATTTTCTAACCCCTTATTATTCAGCCTTATTGTTCAGTATCTATTGTAAATGATTTCCTATCTACTATGAATGTTTCACCATCTACTACGAAACTAATGTGTAAAGTTATGCAGTTATGGAGCGAGGAATCGAAATGTGGACCCATATGCAGTTTAAGGGGTTAACACCTGCATTGAGACTACTCAAAATTAGCATACAGAAATTTAAAATTCATTTATTCTGGAGATTTTTTGGAGAGTACAAATGGGTGAGGAGGTTGTGAAAGAAAAGTGCCAACGAGATCCCAAATGATAGATAAACACCAGAACTGCGCAAAAAGAAGAAAGAAGTAACAAGCGAGAGAAAGCTTTGGCGCCCTTCACAGCCACACAAAACCAGCTCCAAAACATCTAATCTTTCCTTCATGCGCCACTGGACACTCTTATGTGGGGGGAAAATGGACACCAAATACCCCCAAATCTCCATAAATCTCCACAAAGTTCAACACCACAATGGCTGCTGGTCTCAGAAGCAACACAGTTGCAACGTTGTGTGAATTGGACTGAATTGAAATGATTTAAATGGGACTGAACTGAATGAAAGTGAGTTGAATGGAATTGAATTGATTGAACTGAAAATAAAAGTGAAATGAATGAAACTGAACAGAATTTAGTCAAACTGCACTGAACTGAACTGAAGCTAAAATGAACTGAAGTGAATTGAACTGAGTTTGACTGCCCTTTACTGAGCTAAATCAAATTGAACTGAAATGAATCGTACTGAATTGAAGTGAGCTGAAATTAACTCAGTTGAATAGAACTGAACTGAATTTAACTGCCTGAGCAGAACTGAGTTGAAACAGTCTAAACTGAGCTGAACTGAATTGAACTGAAATGAAGTGAATTGATGTTTTTGAGGTGAGAGCAAAAATTCTAGCCACATATCAGGACATGGCTGAGTGTGTGTGTGTGTGTGCGCGCTTCCCACAGGTTTTACGGCATGGAGAACACAGAAACACACACACCATGCCTGATTACAGGGTCAGTGCAGGCCAGAGGGAAATCATACACTCCCTGAGCCAGGTGTGTTTGTAGAGGAAACCGACGGTCAAACCTGCCACTCCGCAGCCAGGCAGCACCTTCCGGACCCCCGGACTACCACACACACGCGGCCTCTTATCTCAGCATGGTCACAGAACGGTAACCGAATGCCCAGTTGCTTCAGCTAGGCTGACGTAAGGTCTATACTAGTGCTTAATTTAATACCACAATATTATCCAAATATCACAGTATCACTGTATTAGATGCAACGTACATTAACCCCTTTTTCACAGCAGCTAGTGAAATGCAATTCCCACCTGTTTTGGAGCTCCCTCAGTTTCGTTAGCAGGCCTTTTCTCTTCAATACTTTTGATGGAATGCATTTTAATGAAAATGTGTATTATTTACAAAACCAGAACTGGATTTTCATTTTCAGTGGTGAGCAAGCAGGTCAACATTTAGTGTTTTTATTGTGGTCAAAAGCTCACTTTTATTGTGGCAGTTGTACAGGACTGTTTGAAATTAGGAACACTGCAGTTGTTCTCACCCCCTTTTCTCCCCTCATTGCTCGCTAGCAGCTCAACACAGAGTCTCAATATTTCACACAGAGAGACAACAGTTTTGCAGCTCATCTGATAACAGAGTTATCAAGAAATAATATTTGATTTGATTATATAGATTGAAAATGTCAGAGTTGACTTTTATAGCTTCTTTCATTCCTATTGAAATGACACCAAACTACATTTCCAGAAAGGAAGCTTACTATTTATGTAGTTTTTATGTATTTAAAATTGTCTTTTCAATCCGAAGTACCCAGTAAATGACATACATTACACAATTACATTTACATTCTATGGAGGTTCTTCAGAGAGCCATCCAGTGAAAGGTTCTTTAGTGAACCAAAAGTGGTTCTCGTCCAAAGACCCCACTTTGGCTCCTTTATGTTTAAGAATGTAGATGATATATATCATCCAGCATAAGTTTACAGCCAGGATTGCATCAAACAGACGATCTAGAGAAGATTCCAGAGGCTTTGAGTCGAGCTGCTTGCAAAAGTGGAGCAGTGAGGAATTATTAACGCGTTCTGAAAACTAAAGATAATGATTCATGCGCAATTGTGGTGGCACCGGGGGCTCGTGGGTAGATTGGGGGGTTTGTGAGAGGCTGGTTAAGAATGTGTTTCAATTTCATTCCCATTCTGATGTGTTGAACCATGACTGATTAAAAAAATTCCTCTATAAGTAAAGAAAATATGAGCATTACTCACACACAATACACAGGCACGCTCTGAAAATAGAGTCTCTCATTGTTTCTGTGTAAAAACTCTCAATGTAAGACCTAAATTTTGAAAAAAAAAAAAAAAGCATTTGGAAAATGTGCAGTGCAAACATACCATCACAATCTGAGTGAACTACAGTTATTTCTCCTCAGATATCCAGTTTCACACCCTCTTTCTCTCTTTCTCTCGCTCGCTTGCGCACATGCACACATACAAAACCAGGCTAGGACTTGGTGTCCCACCACAAAATCTCTCTTTAAACACGTTTTATTTGCAATGATTACACAATACGCTGTTCAACAACGTACATTTGAGTGGGATTCCTGAAAAAATGTCCTGGCTAAACAACACAAGAAAAAAAGGCACTTCTTCCACACACATGTACACGTATGTAATTATAATGTGCCCCAAATGTATGATATATATATATATCGCTGCTGTCAGAACAAAACCTTGTATCTCCATTTTTGTTGTTTTCCAGTTTTTGACATAAATTGAAAATTCCTGTTGTCCTTTACATTGTGTGTAAATTTCATGATGAATGGACTAAAAGAAACGGTCCAGAATGACTTGGAAAAAATTCTGGTTCCATTGACTTACATTAAAAGTACAGTATGTTTTTTCTTTCTCCAGTAAAGTTACCATTTTGGAGATGTTTTGTTCTGACAGCAGAGATTTGCAAATACTACGTTAAATATTTAATGTCCCATATGTACTATATGTATGCAAGTACCTATATTTATTAATAATACATGCTTTATGTATTATATATATTGTCACATTCCCAAAAACGTGAACTTTTTAAAGTGCAGATAAAAACGTCCTTAACTTTTAATGTAGGTCACTGCAAAGAGATTTTATTCCAAATGAATTTTGAGCAGTTCTACTAGTCCAATCATCAGGAAATGTTCATATCATGTAAAGGACAGTTGCAGAGTTTAAGTGATGCATCTAAATAAACAATGAGATACATGTTTTTCTTTGGACAGTGGCTATATGTTTCTTATTGCTACTCATTGGGGTTCCCACTGTCCTGCACAGTTTTATCTATTCCCTGCCTGAACACACTTGATCCAGCTCATGAAAGGCTTTATTATCAGGTGATGAGCTGGATCAGCTATGATGAGATGGAAAATAATTGAAAGTATGATGGATCAGCATTAAGAAACACGGCTCTATATAATCATAATAATAAGCCCCACAGATATTTTATATACACAGTACTATGCAAAAGTCAGAGACCCTTTACTCTTTATTTCTCAGCAAACAAAAGTGTCTAAAACTAGCTACAGAGAAAATTTGACTCCTAACAACCACCTGGAAGACCTGTTAGATACCAAAACTGCACCCATCAGATAAACACCACAGGTGTTTCTGTCCATCCTTCCACTGTGAGAAGACAACTCAGCGCTGTGGGTCTGACAGGATGTGTAGCTGTCAAGAAGAACCTCACTGAGAAAAGGAGACGGACACATCAAACAAAGAAGCTGAACAATGGACTGACCACCCCAGAGTCCAGACCTCAACATCACTGAATGTGTTTGATTACTTCAGAAAATGATCAACCAGCTTCTAAGACTGAACTTTGGAGGTGTGTCTGTAGATTTACTTGAGAAACTGAAAGTGAGTCTCTTGAAAACAATGGAAGCTGTAATAAAGATAAAGAATGACACAATGAATATTGGAAAAAAATTTAAATTATAAAATTATATTTAGTTGTTGAGGATTCTGTGCAACTGGCCATTAAATGTTTTCTACTTTTTTCTGACACATGAATGAAAAATGAATAATTTGTACTATGATGGCAGTTTTGACCGGAAAATAAAGAAGTGGTGGTCTGACTTCTGCCCAGCGCTGTATATGTAATAAGAATTTTGTAAACCTAACCCTAATCTTAAAAAGTGGTTTGTTCTTTCAGTTTAAAAAAAATTAAACATGGAGTTTTTGTAGAAAGCACTTCAGGGGTTGGTTTTATCCGGTTTTACTACAT